TCAGTAGCAGTCTCAAGTAGTCTGACGCGCCTGTCAGTTCCGTGGTACCAAGAAATTAATTTCCCTATAGTCTGCAAAAATTAAATGAAAGTTTGTTAAATTAAGGACTGCCGAAGCGAGGGCTAAAATGCCTTGTTGGATGTCTTCGAGTTCAACGCATTCCATCTATAGCTTTTTAATTCCAAATTATTTTTCCCTTTTCTCTAACAAATGCATCTTGTTAGCAGATTTTGTTGGATCTAGGCCTAAGCTTTGCTGATGAGCACTGTTTTCCTCCTGTCCAATAATTTTGTAGTAAAGTTCTTCCAATTACCAAAGATCTAATTCAATTCATTTTGTTCAGGTGGAGAGTTCCAGACTAATATTACCAGGTTTACACTTCCAATACGCTCACTTGCATTTAATAAATCAGGGAGTTTGTTAGCAGCAGCTGGTGATGACGAGGGCATTAAACTTATCAACACAGTTGACGGTTCTATAGCTCGGGTTGTCAAAGGTCATAAAGGGACTGTCACGGGTTTAGCTTTTGACCCCAATGGTGAATACTTGGCATCTGTAGATTCATCTGGAACTGTTATTTATTGGGAACTTCACTCAGGAAGAATAGTTCATAACCTCAAAGGCATTGCTCCTGATACTAGAGCAGATGTATCTGCTATGAATGTTCTTTGCTGGAGTCCTGATGGTGAGACCTTGGCTGTTCCGGGGTTAAAAAATGATGTCGTGATGTATGATAGAGATACTGCTGAAAAATTGTTTACATTGAAGGGCGATCATACACAACCCATATGTTTCTTGTCTTGGTCACCCAATGGCAAGTACATGGCTACTTCTAGCTCAGATAGGCAGATTCTAATCTGGGATGTCAATAGAAAGCAGGATATTGATAGGCAAAAATTCAATGAAAGAATATGTTGCATGGCTTGGAAGCCAATAGGTAATGCGATAGCTATTATTGATGTTATGGGGAAGTTTGGTATCTGGGATTCTGTTATTCCTTCATCCATGAAATCCCCAACAGAGGACATTCCCACGCAATCCAAGAATAGTAATGGGCTTCTTTTGTTTGATGAGGAGGATCCGGACCTTTGTGAAAGTGGAAGTGTAAGCGATCTTGGTGAAGATAGTGATGGAGAGTCTGAACTACCTAGCAGGAAAAGATTACGTGAACAGCCTTCGAGTAAGGAAAACTTTGATGAGGATGGCAGTGACGAAATTGCTTTGCATCCAAAGGTTGAATCTCGTAAAAAACCAAATCACACGCATAAAGAAGATTTAAACACTGCGAATGTGGGACTTAAAAGCTCAATTATAACGTGTAAACCAAAGATGCAAGAAGCATTTCAACCAGGATCTACTCCTGCACAGCTTGGGAAGAGGCGCTTTTTGTGCTACACTATGCTTGGAAGTATAACCACAATTGAACATGATGGGTACTTCCACATAGAGGTAATGCATGTATTAGATATAAACTCATTCTTTCATCCCAGTATTGATTTAAGTTAAAATTGTAGCTTTTGCAGTTGATCTCTAATGTATGCTAATTGGTTGACATATCTTGTCGACAGATTGATTTTCATGATACTGGCAGCAGTCCGCGAGTTCCGTCAATGATGGACCATTTTGGATTTACAATGGCTGCTTTGAATGAGAATGGGAGTGTCTTTGCGAATCCTTGCAAGGGGGAGAAGAACATGAGCACTCTCATGTATCGTCCATTTAGCAGTTGGGCAAGTAATAGCGAGGTCAAAATCTCACACGGCTATATCTGCTGACATTCATTATTTATCGTGGCGTTCATAAGGATATTTAACCTTTCATTACTACTGGATAAGACTGTTTGCAATACAACGTTTCATCGTAAGTTCACTTGTTTAAAAAATGTAACAGTGGTCTATGCGCTTTGAAGGAGAAGAAGTAAAAGTTGTTGCACTTGGTACTGCTTGGGTGGCTGCAGCAACTAGTTTTAACTATCTTCGTATATTTACAGATGGTGGTTTGCAGGTTTGTTACAAATCTTAAACCTTTCTTGTTTCAGGACTTTTTTAAACTTTGCATTTGAAGCATTGATAATGAATAAACTTGCTTTTGCACTATGCGCAAGTTTTGACTTCTTTATGATTAGTCGATAACATGTTTGGTATGACAAAGAGAATCTGTATACGTTGATGGCAGTTTCCTTGCAATATTTGCATTTCTGAGTAAGTTTCATTGCAGAGAAATATTATTTCGCTGGATGGGCCAGTGGTGACTGCCTCAGGTTTCAAGGACAAATTGGCAGTTGTTACTCATGCCTCTGATTGTTTTTCCTTAAATAATCAGGTTGGTTTAGTGTACAGATATGGTTTATAAAAAGGTTACGCTACTGGGAGTGCATGTTTAATCTGAATGATAAACAACCATCCATAAGATGATATTTCCTTTTTCCAAAATAATATATTTTCCTTTGGCAAATTCAGGTGCTAGAGTTTAGAGTGTTTAATATACCGGATGAAACCCAGCTCCTTAAAGGCCGCCTACCATTGACTCCTGGTTCATCTTTAACATGGTTTGGATTTAGTGAAGAAGGCCAATTAAGTTCCTATGATTCCAAGGTATTCTGATCAATTGTGTCAATATTTCATATCATATCATTCTTGTCCGTTAAATTCTTGAGACATACATGCTAAGACTGTAGTATATGTAGGGCGTGCTCAGAGTGTTTACAAGTCAGTATGGAGGTAGCTGGCTCCCGCTTTTTAGGTTCGATATTATTAGTCCATGGCTTAATGTTTTTATTCTTCTTATGCCGGAGCTTCCCGAATGTCACTTCTTTCATTAAAATTTCAATGCAGTGCAAATAAAGAGAAAGATGAAAACTATTGGGTAGTAGGGTTAAATGCAATCAAGTTATTTTGTGTGATATGCAAAAAACCTGACGTCTTCCCACAGGTAGGAGTAGCAGTTTGAGGTAATCTGTTTGTCTTTTTTGGCTATGAGTTGACCATATTTACTTTTCACTTCATCATCAGGTGATGCCTAAACCGGTTCTTACTCTATTGAATCTTTCGTTTCCTCTTGCTTCCTCTGATCTGGGATCGGAAGCCCTTGAGAATGAATTCATAATGAACAACATGCATCTCTTTGAGGTTTGTCCTTGTGAAGCTTTGCAGATTTGAAGGCCTTTACAGTCTAGTGGGCCTGCAGAACGCATGATTCATATAAATTCAGTTCATAAAGAATTTTTAAGTGCTTAAAATGATAGTTATTCCAATTTGTTACTTTGATGCTGTTCGATGTTGAATTAGATTCATCCCATGCAGATTCAGAAAAGAATGGATGAAATGGCAGTTGCTGGTTTGGATGCCGGTTCGCTTGACGATGAGGCTTTCAATCTAGAAGCCGCCCAAGATAGATGTATACTTAGGCTTATAGCATCCTGCTGTAATGGTGAGTCCATGTTATGGTTTGCTCCATAGGGATTACTATCTCGTCGTCACATACCTCTCCACTCTGCATAACCTTGAATTCTATACTTAATAGAAGTATTCACGCTTCACCTTTGTGGATATAACAGGAGATAAACTTGTGAGAGCCACTGAACTCGTGAAACTTTTGTCACTGGAGAAATCAATGAAAGGTGCAATTAAACTTGTCACTGCTCTAAAACTTCCTAACTTGGCGGAGAGGTTCAGCAGCATATTAGAGGTATGTCTTGAGCATTCTGAGAAGGCACGGTGTTCAGAAATATCATGGTTAATGTCATCTTTGCCTGTGTTTTACCGTGATGCATTGAACAGCAAAGGCTTCTACATGAAATGAAAAAGCCCGCAGATAGCAACCACCACCAAGATGACCGTACCGCACCATTGACAGTCGATGTTTCAAATAGCAGAAGCAAAGTCCTGGCTCAGACGGAAGCAGCAGCCACAGTGAGCAATTCGTCATCACCAAAATTATCTGCTCCTTTGTTGACAAAGAAAGCCAAGTCACCAGGGGAAGCCAAAGCGGGAATAGATAAGCCTGTGGTGGCGAATGAAACTGTGAAGGGGAAGAATGCAGGGAATGATACAAATGATAGGGAAGGGAAGGCGGGGGAAATACGTCGCGTCTCAGCTCACCATTCTCAAGATATCTCTGTAAAGTCCTCAAATAAGCAGGAAGTAGACAAGTTAGACGCTGGCATGGCACAACCAAGTCGCCCCTCCAATCCGTTTTTGAAGTCGTCCATCAAGTAGACTTTATATTTTCACGCTGATGCGGATTGAAAAATCAAAATTGCTAGGTTACCTGGTTGAGTAGATTACGAATTATGAGAGCCTCCGGCATCTGTAAAGTCTTGTAACTATAATCATTTTTTTGAATATAACGTAACAGTTCTGTTGGTCACCGTTGGGATGCATCTCCACATCAGGTGTAGACCAAATAAAGAAGAAAGATATAGGGACGCTAAAGGATCTGATAGAAAAAACAGCATTCTTAATAAATAGATAATTTACTAGGCGAAATTCCCTTGTATGAAACACAACCCCCTTGCATTGTCATCCCACATCTCACAATGGGCAAGGTAAAGCCAGCGATGGCCTCTCATCGTGGTTCATGAATCGTGCTCCCATCAAATTATTATTTTATTATTACTGAAGAAACATTGATATTTTGCAATTTGAGAGATGGTGAAAAGTACGGACGAGAAAGCGTTCGTGTTATTTGCTTAGAGGTACATGCCTTCAGCTCACTGTTGTTGGCGCCCTGTAAGTGAAGATAATATGGGCGTTGGGACACAGTTCACCTTGACCCCAAAAAAAACGAAAAAAAAAAAAAAAAAAAGTTCACCGTGGTCAACAATCTGCTCCATCTATTTACTAGGATATATTATTATTAATTAATACTATTTTTTCAGGACACCCCGTTTCAGGATATCGGGTGAGAAATTAAAAAAAAAAAAAAACTATTTCTCCAACCTGAAACCTGAACGCACGTTCGGCGACAGTTAATTTAATGGCAAGAAATCCTGATCAGCCACCACACCACGCAAATCGATACGACAAACCAAGAGGGCTACTCTCGTCATTCCACTCCTCACACGTTATAGGCCCCAGATCCCCTCCCGCCCTTCACCGGGATACCTCACCCGCCTTCCCTTACATCACCAATGGCAGATGTCACCTACCTCCGCCACCGCGAACCCGACGACGACCCTCACCTTCCTGAGCAGACCCTAACTCTTGATTCTATCCCCTACCGGTCTCACTCCGATTTTGATTTCGATTTCGACTTCTATCCTTCCGATCCAGAATTCACTCCGGCCGATCCGCCCCCTCGCCCTCACAACGCCTCTCGCGATCGTGGATTGTCTCATCGATTTGAATCCGCCATCTCTGTACGAGGTGACGATAACTTCTCGGACCCTGGTTCGATTCCCATCACCGATCTGTTGGACCGCGAAAATCAGGTAAATTTCGTTATGGATCTGATTCAGCAGCGTGTTGAGCAATCGCAGGTCATGGTTCACGGTGATTTGGTCTCCGAAGTGCTGGATGATTCTAATTTTGGTATTATTGACGGTCATTGCGACGTGGGTGTTGATGCTTTGCGTATGGATTTCGAATTGGGATTAGGGTTTGGCGTGGACAGGGATTCTTTGCAGGGTGATGACAGTAGTGGTTTTATGGTTGAAAATTATGGTTCTGCTGGTAGTGGTGGGGATGGTGACCACTTTTTCGTTGGAAGGAGGGTGTCTGGATCTGAGTCCGTGGGAACGCCGTCTACGGCAAGCCGAATTCGGCCTTTCGACAACTGTGTACGGCTCGTAGGGTTCGGGTCAGATTCTGATGAGGAGGAGAATGGGGTTTTGGGTCCGCTCCCGCATTCTGAAGATGAATATAATGTGCACGACGAGAACGACGATGTTGCCAGCATCCCTCTTTGCTGGGATTCATTTCAATTGGAGGATAACAGGGAGAATACCGAAGATTTTGAGTGGGAAGAAGTTGATGGTCGGGTCGATGAGAGGGATATTTTGAGCATGCTCACTGGCGAGGATGATGCGTCTGTATCAGTTTCCGTTTCCCTATAAATGGACTTGAAGAAGTAAGTGTTATGAGAGCGGGAGGTGTGGAAAATTTGGGTTGGGAAGTTTTGCTGAATGCCAATAATTTGGACACGAACCCTGATTTGGATCACGATGCAGAACCTTATTTTGGTGATCATGATGACTATATTTATACTGCTGAGTACGAGATGATGTTTGGCCAATTCGCTGACAATGAGAATCCCTTGGTTAGTCGGCCTCCAGCTTCCGTATCAGTTGTTCAGAATCTTCCATCGGTGATTGTGACCAAACAAGATATCGAGGACAATGGTGCACTTTGTGCAGTTTGCAAGGATGAGTTCAGTGTTGAAGAACAAGCGAAAACAGTTGCCATGTTCACATTACTACCACGGAGAATGCATTATTCCATGGCTGGGAATTCGGAACACGTGCCCTGTTTGTAGATACGAGTTGCCTACTGATGATGCTGATTATGAGCGTAGGAGGATGCAAAGATCTGGCGGTATTTTATGATGCTTATTGGTTCAGATATGATTTTGACCATTTCTGGGCTTTAGGCTTGTTAAAGGTGTAGACTTTTTGGTTGAGGAGAATTCATCTCTAGTTAATTTTCAATACTTAAAGTTGTTGAGATGAGTAGGAGAGTTTCTTTGAATTGTAACTTCAGGCTACATGATATAAATGAAATTATTTGCGCAAATTTGTCTATCTGTATTTTGTTGTGGTTTTTGAATATTGCGGTTGTGTTAGAATGCTATCTTTTTTCATGCGATTTCTCATTAGATTTTTCATAGTGTTGGGATTAAAAAACTTTATGCTAGTAAAATCTCCAAAAGGTTGAAAGGATTTCTTGAGTCAGTGATGCCAGACCAATAAAATCATTGACCAATATTGACATTCTAGTTTGTTGATCGATCTGTGCTTCTGTTTTGGTAAATTATTTAGTTGTGACTTGTAATTTCTTGTCCATTCAACAAGCTTCGCAAGATGCAGACGTTTTGATTGAAGGTCTATTGTCTTCTAGGTGACTTTTGGTGCTTGTGTCAAGAACTTTTGAATGTATTTTCATATTTGGTTAGAACATCTTCTCTATGACAAGGTTTACCCCTTTTTTCTTTAAATGGTGTGCGTGCGCGTGTAAAAATACTGCTCGATGACTAGTTATTGTATGGGATTCCTATTACTTCGATGCTTAGTTATGGCGATGCTCTGGCTAGAAAGGCTACTAACTTCGGCTCAACTCTTGAAATGGAATATAAATGAAAACTGATGCTGCATATTTTGCGAATGCTACTTATAATGTGATATAGTGTATAAAATATTCTCAAGAGAAACTGAGAAAGTAGTAAAATGTAGTTTTAAGTATATGATCCATTTTTATTTTTATAAGTTGTCATAAATGTTCTTTTGAGACGTAGAGAACTAGAAATTCACTACTTTCTTAGTGGGCGTGGATGGCCTAGAAAGTACCCTTAATTAACGGATAGAATTTCCCACCATTTGCAGCCACTGCATTCAGCGAAGTTTTCCTTTACAAAAAGCTGTCCTGTTCTGCAATTTTAATATAAGGAACATTCATTATACCTGCCAGTTTTCAGATCTACAGACTTTGCTGACTTGATCATTCCATTTCTGGCTTGTCTCAAACGCTAGTGATTCTATATACGAGGGGGATTCCAAATGAAGGTAAAATTAGGATTCTGATTAACATCTCTATTATGTGCATAAATGACTAAAATAGTTTATATATGTATATTGCTAATGATCCTTTTGAATGCCACAGGAAAAATGGCAAATTCGTTTTGACCACTTATAAACCAAAGCTTATGTAATGCGTGCAAGGTAATGCTTCCAAGCACAGTCCTATGACATGAATGCAAATTATTTCACTACCTACCCTTTGGCTTATTACTCTTAAAAAGGAGCTGCAATTTCTCCATCAACGAAATTCTTATTTGTAGTGCTTGAGTGATTATTTTTTTTTTTCATTCCTCAAGTTAGCTTGCTCTAGATCTAAATGAAGCCTTGGTTAGATGGTATAGCTTCTTTGACAGGCATTTTTCATAACTGGGTGTGCAAATATTCAAGTTCGCTTACTGTTTGTTTCCTCAATCTTACCTTGAAAGGAAGGAAAGTAGGAAACTACATAATTCCAGTTTTGGCTCTATGCATTTTGGTTGCATTGTACCGTGATTTAAGCAAAAAAGACAACGTTGGTGCCTTGAGCAATCAAATCACTTTGGCTTACAATTATTCCCCGACCATTCTACAGAGCAAAGGTCATTTAAGCATTCTGTCTTTTACCATTCTTAACTTCGCGATCCAAGTATACAAAAGCATGGTAGTCTACGGCACCCAGCACAAACGCTCAAATACATCAGAACATCTCATCTGCAAAATCATCTTAAAGCTCTTATCCTCTCTCTCTCTCTCTCTCTCTTCTCTCTCTCACACACCACCACACACACCCACACACACACAAAAACATACACACACCCATCTGAGATATGGATGGGAATACAACCTTAGACTTAGAGCATCAGCATCCTCACCATCCTTGTCCTGCTCAGAAACCCATTCTGACCTCAAGTTTACTCAACATGGAAGCTGGGCAA